TTTTCAAGTAGTAAAAAAGCATTTGAATTCCTTTAGCAAATTGAAGATGAAGTGAAAAGACAGTATTATGTGCGTAGTAGGATATTTAGGAAGGAATTTAGCAACTGTTTTCTTTCCTTCAAAACAACCTACAAAAGTCAAGTTGGACAGATAACTCCAAATTTGGCCAATTCTTCGTAAGAGCCCAGCTAGCGTAGAAGTGAACGTCGTATGTGTTAACCATAAGGTACTCCCAGGCTAAGTATTGAAATCTCTGATTTACACTTGTCCACAGCGGTACTTACACTCCATATAACCAAAACGTCCAAACCGCTGCAGTTGCTTTTCTGTCACTGGACTGATCCCTTCGCTCTTTTTCCACGACGGGTCATATTCAAACCACATAGTTGAACCATCTACGATGTAGTAGAGCTCATTAAAAATGGCAGATTTATACCTGCAGAAATTGTCATTATCTTTAATTATTTGTCAGACTACAATGGAAGCAAGACCACTCTGGTAGTGATTCATCGTTGATTATGGGGTTCTGCCACTTTTCAATCTGTGCTCGCCAAGATTCTCCGTCCTTGAGCGCTTTCATTACCAGTCTGTCGATAGCTTCTTCACCTTCACCCAAGTACCGAGAGTAAAATCTATAAAAATCGGCTTTTTGCTCTAAAGTATATAAATGCGTAATCAAACCTCTTATAACTTTTGGATCTTGAGCCAAATGTCACTTGAGGCATAAGCCATGCTAGGCAGAATGTGCAGTTGGAAGATGCCCCACTGTTGAGTTGAAAACGAGAGCATACAGCGATTCCAAGCTCATCGCTCTTCCAAAGTTCTATGTGGATAGAAAATTTTTCTTTTTATTAACTTCTGCGAATTCTCCAACCTCCAGATAACGAACCAGATTCTTTCAAGCAATCCCATATGTGTTCTCCGGTAACCGAACGAGGATCAAATGTTGAGTAGGTCACCTTAGCTTCCGATGACTACAAATGCATTTTCTGGTAATGATTCAGTCTTATGCAGAAAGTGAGGAGGATAGTCAACTCTAATTTGTACGGATTTTCAAATCAAAAAGCTCGTACTATAGTTTTGCATGTGTTGACCGCACGCATTACAGCTGTTGGGTTTCAATTAAGATCTAGTATCCTGTTTGGGATGTGGAAGAGCTTGTCTAAGAATTGGTCCAAGCGTCACGGGTAGACCAGGTGCGCGCTGCCAACGCTTGCTCGCGAAAGAAAACAGATTCCGCCAATGTGGGCCGCACTAGTATTGCGTCAACAGCATGCAACAGCATCGAACAAACTGCTGCTGTCCTCGGAGTTATGAGAATTTGTCATTACCCTTGCTCTGTTTCAGTGATATAAACGGTTTTCTGCCTAATCCCGAACCGAGTTGCAATGGCCGTATCACCATCGCAAGATCGGCGATGCAAGCGTACGCGTGAAATCTCCATAAGCTGTCCCAACCCTTAGAGTAGAATCTCACGTAATAAGCAGTTAAGCAGGGAAGTGTTTGAGCCGTCTCTTTAAGGGATTCCCGGGAAAATGCAAAAGCGTTGGAGCGCTGCTGTCGCCTATAATATGTCTGCTCAATCAGAGTATAAAAGATAGAAAGTCTAAGATCGTGTTGTCGTTGTTGAATTGCATTTTAAAGACTCAAAGCCGTAGGTTTTTATGCTTAGCATGCTTGACGCTCTACCATTTAACGGCTTTTCGCCAA